TTATAGACCCGGGCAACTGAGGAGTTGCCCCGGATAGGAAATTCAGATAGAATTGATTATATTTGGAAAGTATGTCTGTTAGTTTTCCTATATTTTCTTATTTATATTACAAAGCACAAGCCCACAGCTCCAGTGCCTTTAAGTGCAATTGGAGCCCCTTATAAACATGTGAGTCTCTTAGCTCACGGATCCCAGCCCCTTCGAACATTTCCGCACGGGGATCACCACAAAAAGATGGAAGCAAATTGTCGAATGTTTAAATTGTCGAAAATTGTCGGCTGAGAGGGGTGGTTTTTTAACAGCGGATCCGTCAACAGCTGAGACGTGACGTACAGAGACAATTATGCGTTATCGAGTGACAATGTTTAGGTTAGAACCAGCGATTTTTATAAAATCTAAATCTAACTAATTAAAATTTAAAACTTATTTTAAATGATTTATCTTACTAAGTTAACATTTTATAACTTTTTCCAAAAGGAATTAAGTTAATTTTGGTTAGTAATTCATAGAGTAAGTAGGTTAAAACGCATAACAGGAACAGAACGCCTTAACAAATAATTTTTCGCGATAGTAATAATATCTCCGACGCACAGAAACAAAATATCGAGCATCAGGATAGGTTGAAGAGAATGTTGTATCCGTCTTAAGGTACACCATAATCTTGAACACTTGAAGGACCAAATACAAGGCAGGAGTCGCAAGCATGTGTAATAGAGAAAAGAGGCCGAAAGAATAAATGTATAAATGACTTGCGACAAAAGATATTAGAATTAAAATATTTGTGTAGTACATTACACTGTACCACAGAAACTATATAAGTATTAATACATTTCAATTATGTTAATGTAATTTTAGCAATGCCGAAGGTGCCTTACTTTCTTCCACTCCGTATGTACCTCTATGCAGAGTTCTGGGAGTGAGTGACCTACCCTTCATCACATATGGGCATAAATTTTGTTTTTTTCTGGGATTAGCAAGTCTTTTACATTTTTTCGGTAGGTAACTTCTACCTTTGAATAAGTTAACACCAATAAATGTTAAATACTCGAAATTGCCAAAATGTAGGTAGGTATACGACCTTTCTTTGTAATTTTTGAAATCCTAAATAAATATATTTGACGTTTATTAAAAAAAACTCCTAGAAAGGTGTATAAGCGTAGAGGCTACCTTTGCCATAAAAATACAAAATGTCACTCTTATAGGCTTTTACTTGGAGGAGGCACTGCGGATTGTACATCAATTACAAGGAAATGTGGAACGAACAAAAATAGGGCGGAAATATTATCTTTTGGGAATAATTATTAAAATCCTTGTGCTTAATATTTTTGTTTCATTTCAACCATTTTTATCTTACCATTACAAGACTCGACGAGTAGCTCAAAAAATTCAATCGTTTTTTTTAGGATTTTTTGACAAGCTTTTTTTCTATACTACGGATTTTCCAAAAAAATTCAATGCTGACGCTCGAAAACTTTCGATGATCTTTTTATTAACAAAATGTTAATAAAACTGTCAAAACAACATTTTTCAAAATAAATAAGAACTAAAAGTTCAGATTTTCAGGAAATTATATATTTTTACATGACAATTGTTTCGACAACAGAGTGTCTTTATCAAATGTGATAAAAATATATAATTTCGTGAAAATCTGGTCTTTTAGTTCTTATTTATTTTGATAAATGGATTTTCATCAAGTAAAAGCTGCCTCAGTACAAACAACATTTTCTTAATTTTTAACTAACAAATAATAAATATAATATATGTATAAAGTCAAAGAAACCATTCTTGATCTAACTTGAGCGACACACTAATGCTTGCAAAATCCCGTTAGTATGAGAGAAAATGTTTTGAGCGATCTAATTTTTAATTGACAATTAAAAAAAAGCGAAAATAACTTCTTGAAAAAAGTATTTTCACGCACCAAATATTTCAGTCACAACTTTGCAGAAATTTGGCAACTAACTTTGCGGGGGTTATTTTTTTTTACCGAACTCTTTTTCCGCAACTTATTTTTCTGCGCATTTGGTCCGGTCGGATCTCCAGAGTTTTCCGTACCGCATGAATTCTTTACGCTTTCATTCCAAGTTTCGGTAATGCCGGATTTTTCTGCCCGAATCTTCCGGTATAATTTATTCATAACGGACGAACAATAACGCGATCTGTTTTTATGTGCCACTTAAATTATTTCTCGTTGTTTGTGAATTGAATTGGGCGAGTACGTGGAGGGGGACAAACTGTATCACTCTTAACAACAAAACTTGGTAAATTCAAATAAAATTAAGTCATAAACGAACAATATCACACCCAAAAATCAATCGCCCGTCGAGCCCCTTTCGGAAAAGTCCGCGTTGGCAGTGTGAATCTGTATCCGGCTTGAATCTCAGTGACCGAATTTTTGGCAGCCGTTGTACGAGGGGCGGTCAAAAAGAAAGCATCATTTTAGTTGCACAAAATCAAATCGCAACTGGAATTCGGAACATAAACGAACACTTTTTTCAGTGAAATCTTCGTCTTTTTGCGTGAAAGCTGCGTTATTCGGACATTCGGCTGTGTGTTATTAAGGGCATATCCCGTTTTAACTTCCAGCAGTGGTCCGCCATCATCGTTATGCTCCATCTGGCTTGGTATCGCCGTTCTATGTCCTTAATGTCCTGTTCTCCCCCTGTTCTTCGCTAACTGCCGCAAGATTTTTAAGTATGTTCAAGTGTGAAAACAGGAAATGCACTTCAAACTCGTATTACAACCTAGACGATGAAAGTGTTGTATGATATTTTAAACAATACTTTCGTAGTTTTGGTTCTTAGAGTTCCCAAGAAACTTATCAATTACTTCTGAAAACGAAACCCAGGCGGTTTTCTCGACATTGTCTTTCGAAAGTCCTCCCTTGTCTTTGCATAATGTTCTTACCTGCGGCACAACAAAAATACCTTTTTCATCGTGGCATCAAATATGGCTGGAAATTTCTAGCACAAATATTTGAAACACAAAGTAAAACTGTATTGGGGCCAACTAAGCTATTTCGTAATACATTCTTACATTTTTGCTACCAGGTGTAAGGCTTGTTCTTGACGGCCATTCTATTTGAGTCCAATGTCTATCTCTTGCCCGACTATCCCACTCACAAATAAAGCATGTATAATCCCCCTGTGGTCCTAGGGGCATGCACAGCACTTTAAGGTAACCACAAAGCATCTATTCTTGGTAGTTTAATTTCTTCAAAACAAAATAAGCTAAAATTTTCATAGGTTTTGTTTAAATGTTTCGAATGTGCAACGGGAACCAATGTACAATAAAAAGCTTTTTAAACCACACCTACTTGAATCAATAAATTCTTCTTTTATATGCGGCACATTTCCTAATTTTGAAACTAAGTCAAGAGTATTGTTCCTATACAATAGCGGTCGTTACTGAGTAAAACATTGACATAACTCTTTTTCTTCCTACGTTTTTGTCAGTTTCTTAATGCTTCAACGTAAACGGAACAAATAGTATGAGGAGCTCAGGACTTGCTTGGTCGCAAATTTTTACACCAAAATAAGAGTGCATTTTGCACAACAGAAGCTATAGTTTGCCTTTGCTTTACGGGGACATAACTACCAAGTTATTTGTTTATTAATGTTAATTTATACGTTCTAGGACACTAGAAACAACCGCGAACTCTGTACTACGATGGCCAATACAACCAACCTGCGCATAAGCAAGTTACAGTGACGCTTCTGCGCTAACTCTGTTGCTTGTAGAGAAATCTAATATCAATTCATTTAAAAATCATGCCTATATTATGAATAAAACATTTTTAAGATATAAAGCGCTATAAAAAAAATGACATGATAGAGCAAAAATATGGCGTTTTTAGGAAAAAGGGCCCCCAAAAATATACAATTTTATATTGTGACCTGCGATCATGCTTTTAGCCTACCCGGATAGTTTTGGTTTCAATACAGACACCGTCGTCACTGAAGTAGTTGTTTAACAGCCCTCGTATACCTCGGGTCTATAACAGGCGTTATTACCTCCGACTTACACAAAGATGCTACACGGTTCCCCATTAGTTACCCGACCAGGGCCGTACTTCGGACATTTATTACGGTTTAAACGTAATTTACGGACTTCGCGGTTTAGAAGGCACAATATGGCGCCAAATTCACGTGTAGATTTCGCTTTAATTTTAAGTTCTCCTTTCAACAAGACATCGCAGACGCACTGAAGTGCTTTTAATTATTTCCCTACTGGTTATTGTTTCTATTAACTGAAATCTGTTTTTATTCAGTTAATAATTATAATTACGGAGTAATTAGCAGTTCGTGTGTATAATAATTTAATAGAATCAAAAAAAGAATTGCAATGATTAAACAGACAGAGAGGAATGTAAATAAACTTTCAAAAAATGATTTTATAGCACAATTACAACAAACAAAGTTGTAGGTAGGGACATAATGTAATTATTTAGAGGATGCGTTTTATACAATAATGCCATTAAATCGAATTAGATGAATTTTTGATATATTAAAGCAAGAAAGATCAAAGGCTAGCCCCGATTTCCTGGTAATTTGTTTTGTTTGGCAAACGTGATTAAATTGAAATTCGTTTTTTAGACAGAAATTTATTGTGGTTAAAGAAAAATGACCTCCCACACAACCTTTTCGGTGATGGGAGAAGAATCAAATCGTGAACATTGGTTTAGCTTCTAGTACCTACATTAGAAGGGAATTTGTTTTCATTAATTATGAAGTTATTAGAAACAAGCGCATAACACAAAACCATAAAAAATCATAAATTCAAACACGTAAAAAACTAAAAAATAGAGTTCAAGGTATAATTAGCCGTTGGTTTGCAACTTACTATCGCCACTTTTCAATTTGTATTGCCCAACAAACCAGACATTCCTTAGACAGCTTTTAAATGATAAAACTCTTTCGGTGTATCACATTTCAAAGGTCTCTTTTTGGAGACTCGGAGTTATAAAGCTGCGGCACCAGCTCTGGTGACCGATAGGTCCCGCGTATCATACGTAATTTCCGTCGCTTCGTCCGACTGCGCCTGACATGGCTGACTCCTTCCCTGCCAAAGCAAAGAACTTTTACATTCATCGGGTATCACTCCGACGGAACAGCTGTGGCGGTCCTTCGGCACCACAATAGTACACTCTGTCGAGCCGTAGTGAGCGTTCGCACGCGCAAATACGTTGGCGTTTTAAATTTATAACCTCAAACCGTATTTTGTTTACGATGATCTCGGCGCATACCGGTAGCTTTCGCGTAATTTCTATCGACCGTGGTCAGTGATTCGCCCCTTTTAAATCTTTACTCGTGCGGGAAGAATCGCAAAACCGCAGCGGATGGTTATGGGCAAACCGAAAAAAGACCAGAAACTCCTCAACAAAATGGCAGACGTGGTGGCCGACCGACGCAAAGCCGTCCATTTGAAACGATCCAAGTCGGTGAGAGCGTCCCTACGATTCATTGGTACAAAATTCCTAAGCAAGCATACCAACAACAACAACCAATCGCCGATGACGAAGACGACGTCGATGTCAAGCATCCACGAGTTCTATCAGTCGGAGAGACAGACGGAATATCTGATGGGAGCGCTGTATCAGCAAAGAAAACCTCCGGAAACAATTCTCAAGACTCCGTTCAAGAAGCCCGAGAAATTCAACAAGAACAAGAGAGATTTGTTGGACGGGCACGTGAGGATCAGCACTCCGCCGGAGGAGGTGGCTCCCAAAGCTGCCCAGTTGCTGCAGATACCGCATTTTAGAGAAGAATTGGCGCCAAGGGTTAACGATCTGAAGGGGGTCCAGTTTGGCGGCTGCTATAGGGACAACGGGTTCCACAGGGGCGCTCTGAGGCTGTCGATGACGACGAGGAGAAAGAACTACACGAGGAATTCGTCGCTGTCTGAGGACGACCGTAAAAGTAGGTAGAGTTTCACGGAATCGAGCTGAAAGGACGCGGTTTTAACAGGATGCGCCTAAAAGCAATCGTACCGAGTTAGAAACACTGCAACATCTAAACTAAAAACGTTTTTATTTTACACATCTAACAATTACTGTATTTAGATATTTGAACATGTCAAAATGAAGGTCATCCCAAAGTCAACTTCGTTTTTTCTATTCAAAAGCCGACCCATAACCGTTTTATTTACTTTAATAATTGAAAACATTCAAAAGTTCAGTAGCTTTAAGAAAAACTTACGCTTAAAAAAGAAGTTGGCCTTCAGTGACCTTGACACCACGCAAAAATGTATTTTGCATACCTAAGAATTATTTTTACTTGAAACTTATAAATTTGGCACTTATAACGTTTTAATTGGCTATAACTTTTTTGTCTTAAGATAGATCAATTAAAACAAAAAAAACAAAATCTAGGGTTAGTAGCCAAGCTTTTTTCCAAGTGACGTATAAAACAAAACACTATCAATTTTCAGATATATATTACTGCATCATATTTTTTCAAATGGAACACCCTGTATGTTATATGTGTGTTTAATAGAATAACTATTCGGATTACGATGATGTAACACACTTTACATTTTAGTCCACTCGTTTTTAAAAAATCGGCAAAAATCCATGCCACAACAGTAATTATTAACAAATTAAAGTAAAACAAAAAAACTAAAAATGACAAGACACTCTAAAGTAAAAAAAAATTAACTATTCTAAATACTGCTGTATATGACCACCATTTTCCTGAACACATTTGAGAAAGATCAAGTGGACCCCCCATTTATTATATATATATTTTATAAATACTTATGATAGAAAATTGATCCCTCAAACGATTTTTTAAAATTTTGATTTTAACAACATTTTTTTTTATAATGAAAATTTTAAGCACTTTTAATTAAAAAATGGATTAAAAATCAACCGTACGAGATAAATGTATGAAATTTTCAGCATCCATGGTGAAATGACTGTACTTTAAGAATTATTAATAAAATTTTCTATTTTTTTTTTAACAATATTAACAATCCTAACATACTGAATCGAACAAGCTTAAATAACTAAGCTGTAAATTTGTCGTCAGTTATTTTTATATTTTTTAAAAAAACGTATTTTTTTTAAATAAATACTTTTTCATCCTCTGAAACGAGCCATTCTAGTGAAAAATTGCCCAATGGTTTGTAATAATGAAATTGGCGAGTATTTTTTATTGTAGTTAAGCGATCGAATCGTGGTTGGTATTTTTTTAAAAGAACTTTGGCCCACTGAAAAAACTAAAGTGGGGTTTTTAAGTGGTTGTTTTTACCACGCTGGAGACTAACACGATAAGCTGGTTTTTTTATACTCCCTGCTAAGCCACCATACGCTGCTCCTTTGCCATGAGATGTAGCGAAAAAAGTCCAATCAGCATCAACACCAAAATCATTTTTATGATTAACTAAATCGGCTAAAATTATATTTAAATAATAATTAAAACTAATCTTTTAATCACATAATTTCATAATTCACTCAGCCCATTTTGAATCACATAAAGTATTATTATTACAATTAATTATAATACTAAAATATTAACTAAAAAACACAACTCAACGACACTTCAACTTTTATTTTTAATAATTATTTCATGTATTGCCTATAAACTTATGTCACGAATAGACAGGAATGACTTCTAAAATGATTTTTTGTTATTTATTAGGATACGCGAAAAACAAATGAAAATCGTAACGAAGCGGTTTTTCTTTTGTTAACTAAAGATGGAGTGTTGACTAGTAAATTTAAAAATAATGATTTACTGAATTACCTAAAAAAAATAAATATAGACCATAACAGTTTTGAAAGTTTAAAGTTGATCATTTTTTTCTAAATTTACGCTGTTTGGTAAAAATAAATAAAATTTTATTAATAATAATTATAATAAAATAATATAAATAATAATAACATTTGTTTTGTAATAATCTTTTGCATTATTATTTTAAATGATCGCTGATAAAACCTTCAATGCAGTTCGAGACGCTCGGCAGCGCGGCGCTTCCACAGCGCTCGGCGCCCGGCGCGCTGTCATAAATAAATTCATTTTGTTTAAACTAATGACGAGTAGTGAAATTTTCTTCCGGACTCTTAAACTTAAATGGATAAAGCATGTGACCGCTAACAGTTAAATTTTCATTTGCTAACTTAAGAGTTAGTAATTTTTTTTTTTTAAATTAAAAGTGCTTAAAATTTTCGTTACAAAAAAAAAGTTGTTAAAATGAAAATTTTAAAAAATCGTTTGGGGATCAATTTTCCATCATAAGTACTTATAAAAATATATACAGATTAAATTTTTATGAACAAGTAGTAAATAACGTGATCTTACTTATTTATCATACTCTCTAATTGTATGATGTCTTGTATTTAGTAATGTTTCCGGATTGTCTGTTAACTGATTGATTGCCTCTCAAATCTTTTGCCGAAGTTGCAGGATATTATTGCAAGGAGTTCTGTGCAGGTTATTCTTTATGTGTCCCCAAAAGAAAAAATCCATTAAAGTTAAGTCGGGGCTGTTGGCTGGCCAATCCATAGGTCCGGGGTTCCCAATCCAACCCCTGAGATATTCCATGTTAAGAAAATTTTTAACTTGCACAACATTATGCTGCCATATAATCAGCGCAGATATATTTAGGGATAAATCTTCTATGTCTTGTTCTATTTGGTGCTCTAAGACTTACAAATAATGATCTCCAGTTAACTTTTGACTTATAAATATCGGTCCCAAAATATGCCCATCTATGACGCCACACCATACATTAATTTAATTGAATGGTACCCCTGGGTTTTTATTTCGTGTATTTGTCTAGGATTATTTACTGATAAATATCGCATATTTTGTCTTTTACAACCCTTTCTTGGGGCGAACGAACTTTCATTAGTCCATAAAATGTTTTTCAAAAAATTATTATCCTCGTCATGTCTATTTAAAAAATTCCAAAAAAAGTTCATCTTTCTTTGACATTTTTCATCACCCAATTTTTAAGTTTTACGAAATTTAAATGCATTATATTTATATTCTTTCAAAATGAGTGGATTGATCCCCGAGAAATACCTGTGTCTTCATATACTCTAGTAATAGAGGAAGATGGAAACTAATATGTTTGTCTTATTTTCTTCATTTAAAACATTATGATTCCGAATGTAATTTGCGGGGGTGCAATTAGGTTCTCGTTTGTTTTACACGGACTATTATTGATAGTTAAACAGCCAAACTAAATTACATCACAAGGACCGCCGATCTGGAATTTTGCAGATGATTAGCGAGCTCGTTGCCGTGCAATGGATATCACACTAAATTAAGTGGGACGCCCAAGTGGACAGTTATCGAACAAAAACGCTAGACCAAAGCTCCGCAATTTTTGATATACTTAAAATTACCTGCATTTTTTTAATTGTTCGTTACAAGATAAGATAATCCAAGGTAAACAAAAGTTGGTTAAGCGCGACTAAAAGTTCTCCAACTTTTGCCAGCTTTTTATTTACCTGATAAATTTTTACAAACCGTATCTGTATGGAACACCGTTTTATTTACTCTTTAATAAAAAAAAACCTCGTACAGCAATAATTATAATGAAACAATATCTGATTAAAGTTAATTTCATTGTTTGTTTAATAATTGCTATATTTAATTTTTTAAATGATATGTTAAACCAAAAGTTTTGCATCTTAAGGAAAAATTAACATTTTCACCAAACAATTAAATTCATGAAAAATTTGGATTGATGAAACATAAAATAAAGAAGCAATATAATGGACATTTGTAACAGTTCTATTTAAATATCGGAAATCCAAACGTGAAATGAAATGTTCGAGAATTTTATTGCTGAATTTAATTATGTATTATTTTTATGTTATCATTTAAAATGTTTGACAAATTAAGATTGTTGAATTGAACCAACATTTTAAACTGTGGTTTAAGTAAATTCCGCTATATTCACGTTGCCGCAATCTTCTTCTTTTTTTTATGCCAATATTTGCAAATATATGACCCATTTGTAAAATTAATTATAAATGCTATAACATATTAAACATATGACATATTAATATTAATGTGACGTAATTTTTTTTGTCAGTAAAACGGCTTTCCATTAGATTTCGTTTGTCAAAACAAAGTGCAGAAAATTCTGTGTCAAAGATAAATAATTACATTAAAAACTAAATGAACATTACGAACTCGCAAAAATAATACAATCTTCAGTCTTAATAATTAAAAAAAAACTATGAACAAAATTTTGCTTATAACGAAAATGAAAATGGATTTTTTTTATTACAATGGAGGTGAAGTGGCACAAAAGTATAATAAACACGTGATTAGAATAAAATGTTTTCTTTAATACAATACCAAGTACGTCACGTAACCGAGATAGCTAATAAAGATAAATGGTGCACCATGAGTTTCTGGAGAGAAATTAACAAATACACGTTCCGTAAAATATGCACGGCGAGTTACTAAACCAACAGTCCGAATGCGATAAATCGGGCCATCTGGGTGGTCAATCTATATGATTTCACGCGCCGCTGTCCGCCACAACCGCTAATTTTAAAACAAACAAATGTGTGTTTAAACGGGTAACCGCGAATTTTATGTCCACATATTTGATAAAAGTGAATTTCCCTGAACTTTCGCGGAATAAACTGCAACATTTGATGCTAGGCTTTGCGTGACGGGTAATTAGCGCAAGCGAAGAGCGTTTTGAAATTATCGGTTAGAAACTATCGGCGATAAAATTAACTACAATACCCACCTTTATGGTGCGCGAGTCCGAGAAAGCGCACCCAGTGGCTGGTTTCCCTGATTGGGTAAGCGAATAGGCCCGGCGACGGAAAAAATATTTTACAATCTGCAATATGTTACAAGGTCTGCAAAACTGGGACCAAATTGAGCAATAATAACAATGTAACATTTAGCTTAAAATGAACAAATTAAACTTTCGGTTCTATTCT